CTCTGCCCAGCTCCCAGGCGCTAAGGGAGCTGGGTGGGGGTCCCGGCCCCAACCAATCAACCCACAGATGGTCACCAGCAGCCGGCAGGCCCTGATAGGATCAGGGCCGGCCCCAGGCTGGGATGGGGACCTGGGGGTGGGTGGCAGCGACCAACCTCCCGTGGAGCCTGGGCAGGGGGCTGCAACCTCTCACTGGCTACCTGGGGGCGGGGGTGATGGGGACGGAGGTGTGGTGAGAATGCAGGGTGTCCACTGAGCTCGCTCTCACTCCCCCTGCTACCCTCCCCCGGGACGCCAGGGCTCCTGCACCAGGAAGCCCCTGCACTCAGGTGCTGGGCACCCATGAGGAGCCCGCCCCGCACCCACACAGCCTCTCCTGGGTGAGCCGGGCCACAGCCACCGGGACCACAGGGGCCGGTCAGGATCCCTGTGGGTTTGCGCAGGAGCCAGTTTGCAAGGAGAGAGCGAGCTGCCCCCCACCACCACCCCCCGCTTTCTTGCGGCGCCACTGGGCAGCCCAGAGGCCCACGCTGCACCCCAGTCCGCAGCATCTGGCCATGCTCACTGCATTTCCGCGTGGGGTCTTGGGCGCTGTGACTCAGGCGGAGGGGGGCGCACAGGGGCCTGAGGGCCCCGGTGCTGCCCAGGGCCCAGAGTTCAGCTAGGACCTGCCCTTCCATGCCAGACGCTCGCGCTTCGATCGCAGGCCAGGCCTAGGGACTGCACCCGTGCACAAATTTCGTGCACTGGGCCTCTGGTCTTCCATAAAGATTTGTGGCTATAACTGCTTCTTACTCCCTAGTGCTTGCCTGAGTTTGAGTCAAGACCTGTGTTTACAGAGTAGACAAAATATTTACTATAGTAATTGGAAAAAAGAAGGATTGAATAAAAGGAGAATTGAAGAATTTATAAAGAAGTAATGACAGCTGCCTATAAGACTGTATTCACAACATATGATCATGGAAGTTTCTATTTATGATGATCCCTAAAACCAATTGAGTATCTATAATACATATATTATGTAAACTAAGCATACAAATAAAGAGTATGAGCTTTGAAAATAATAAAGTGAGTCTTTAAAACACTGGAAAATGATAATATCAAGAAAGATAAAATTAAGTGATGAGTATCTTTGAACTTGAGATATTTTTGTCTTCTATCATCAATAGCATAATAGCTAGGGTACTTACTGATAGAAAGGAAGATTTGGGGAACAATTTGAAGGTTATTAAAAATGTGATAGCCTGACATATTATTTGGACCTTTGTAAAAATCGATAAGCTTAAAGTCCAGCTCTGCTATATCTCATAACTATGACAACAGCCCAAGAAGCAAATATGTACTACTATATCTCAAAGCTGTGATAACATCCTGGGAAACAAGTGCCTAACATAATTTAAAAAAATGAAATTTTATGGAGTAGTTATCCTCCCACAAGAACAGCAAGGGAGCTAGAAGGAACTCATCCCCCTTGTCCCAACTAGTCTTTATAGGTAAACTGAGGGAAGAATATAGAAAGTGGGCATAAATTTGATAAATACAATTGAATGCTAAAAACAAAAACAAAAAATAATAGGGCATTTACTTACAAGGTGTTCCTCTGCTGGCTTCTTCCATAGTTACCCTGACATAGGGCTTATTAAAGTCTACTTCAATTTCATCAGAAAAAGGAGCTGGCTGCCGTAAGCCCTTAAGAAGAGGAAAGTGAAGGGGGAAAACAGTTAAATTCAATGGAACAAACTGAAATACTCAAAAAATGGCAGCTTTAAAGAACAATTAGTTACTGAATATACTGTGACTAAAATTCCTCCTAAAACTTCATAACATAAAAAAGAAAAGAAAAAGGCATTCCAAAATGACAAGTGAAAGTTGCAACCTTTCACCTAATGGACAAGTCACAGTGTCAAAGATAAATGTTTTGCTAATGATTTCAGGGTAAAGACTGAACAAGACTGCTGGGAACAGTCCCAACTAACTGGGCCCAGAATGACGGCTCCTCTGCTGCATGGCAGAACAGCCAACCCGGATCTATGTGACTAAGTTGCCAAGGTTCATAAGCGCATTTTCAAATCACTTCACCCAGTAGACTGGGAAGGCAAACAGCTCCTGTGTGCTTTATTAAGCACAATTATCATTGTGTAATGCTTTGCACTGTAAATATGTTCTAATGCTCATGTGAAGCAAGTAGTATAATAGCTGGTATCCTCAAGAAAATGAGGTTCAGAGAAGTTATATGAATTGTAGGCAATTACAGTAAAACCTCGATATAATGGACTAATTCAGGTCAGGAGGTGGCCAAAAGTCTCTTACTAGTACGTGAGTAGGTTTTCTGAATGCATATGTTAAAAAATTGATAAATTAATTTACCTGCTTTTATTTATGTAGGCACATTTGTGTAACTAAAATTAAATATGTATGAAAAGTTTAATTTCACAGGAAAGTATTCTATATGTATTAAAATCATTTTAGGAGAAACCAAGATGGCGGCATAGGTAAACACCGGAGATTGCTGCCTCGCACAACCACTTCAAAAATACAACTAAAAGACGGAACGGACATCATCCAGAACCACAGGAAGGCGGGCTGAGTGGAAATTCTACAACTAGAAGGAAAGAGAAAAGCACACTGAGACTGAGAGGAGGTGCGGTGCGGAAGTAAAATACAAAGGTGCGGAGGTGCATGCGGAGAGGGCTGCCGGCTGAGGACATGATTGTCTTTTTTAATCCGGAGGGAGTCTCAAGCTCTGAGCTCCAGTTCCGGGCGAGTCTCTGGGGACCCAGACTCATACAGGAGAAATGGGACTGTCTGGCATCGGTCAGAACTCGAGGGCAGCGATTGCTGGGGCCTCTGAGGGCAGGACTGAGAGCAGCCATACTGCTCGCTCTGCCCGCCCTGTTGATCC